TTTTATTAATGTGTTGATGGATTCAACCATTTTCTTCTGATTTTACAATACTGTTGTGTTTGTTTGGGAGTGTAGTAATTCTGTTAAGAAAGGTGAAATAAGGAAAAAGCTCATATTGCAATTTTGCTGTTATTAATTCATGCTTTTACCAGAGCTCATACTGCAATTTTTGTTGTAATAAATATGGCGACAAAGATGAGGACAATAGTCCGAATAATGTAAATAATGTACATAATACCTCATCTCAGAAATATAGACAGATACTAAAGGGCCAAAACGATGTAATAATTATGGCGACAAAGATGTGGACAATAGTTCGAATTATGTAAATAGTGTACATAATGCCTCATCTCAGAAATATAGACAGATACTAAAGGGCCGAAACGTTGTAATAAATATGACGACAAAGATGAGGACAATAGTCCGAATAATGTAAATAGTGTACATAATACCTCATCTCAGAAATATAGACAGACACTGACGAATTAATTCTATATTAAATTAAATGCTAAATACAGTGTACCGTATGCGTAAAAGAAGGCAGCAAGTTGCTATCTAGGGGCCCTAGCGGTCCCATTATAGTTTTTATTTAAAAAAAAAAAAAAATTAGCCAAGTAACAAACTGGATGCTATTTTAACATATATGAAAAGTTTTCATCAATATTGGAATGGGAGACGACATTTATTAAATGTTATACCTATGAATGCCTTTGCCACAGTTTTCGTGAGGCGTACAGATCGAGAACTCAGATTTGTTCAGACAAATAAAAATTGCCATCTCCATGGAGATCGTATTCAAAGAAAGATTATGCTGAATTAATTTAGAAAATAACCTGCGGTTCGTTCAGATGTTGTTCCCAAATTTTTAAAAAATCGAACAAAGATCGATATCTGTCCGGAATTTTAAGCTTTATAAGAGTTATTATTTCGTAACAAGTGTATCCTAATTTCTAAAAGGTTTGCAAGACAATTATCTCACTTGCTTAAACACAATGATAAACATGTAAATAGGTTTTCGCGTAGGACCCGGCGATTTAAGAGTGGCTAGCGATCCAATTATACATGTTTTTATAAAAAAAAAAAAAACCCAATTAGCCTCGTGACGAACTGGAGGGTAATTTAGTTTAACATGCATGCAGTTTCATTAGATTGGTTCACGGGTTTAGGCGGCAACTTGATTCAGACAGACAAACAGAAATTGCCATTTACATATATATATATATATATATATATATATATATATATATATATATATATAAGGCAGGATGTGTGTGTGTAATGAATGCACGGTCGCAATTTTCGACGGATTTGCACCAAAATTTACATGCACATGCTCCAAGTTAGCGGGAAGATCAAGACCGACTTTGCATTTCCCAACTCCCATCGATAGTGGAAATAATCGATTTTTTCATGCTTCTACGGCAGTTTTCATGTAGTTTGCGGCCATTTTGTACTGGCCAGAGTGAGAGCCTATAGCTGGCTGCCACGAATAGGCAGGAAGATTCTATTGGCCAGCGTGAGAGCCAACAGCTGACTGACACGAATGTTAACTAGGATGCAAAAAAAAATCGATAGCTGCATTTGTCACAAATGGGAAAAATTTAAATCTGCATGGCACTTTACTCCAATTGGCTCATTCGCTTGCTTAAACTCAACGTTGATTCTGATTCCGCAGAACTGGGTTGGGTGTGAAAAAGTATTTGGTGTTACCATTGTTTTTTTCATTCGGTTTTTCCAGTTACAAGTCCTTTTTTTAAAGCTGATCGTTTTGTGTTCATTTTGTTTAGTTCTTTTTTTGTAACAGATTTAATGTTTAGTATAGAGCTTAGAAAAAATTCGCAGTGTGAGATAGGCAAGAAGTAAGGCATGTAGCAACATCAGCACGGCAAAGGGCACTCCTTTAAAGGCAAGGAAGGGCAAAAATATTTTAAGTCAAGTGAAGCGATTGCTGTATGAGTCGTACGATTTTTTGAATCAAGCACGGGCAACGCCATGCTGCTAGTATATATATATATATATATATATTATATATATATTTTTTTTCCTTTTTTAAACTGTGCAAATATGCACAATAAACGGGGAGGAAAAATATATATAACGGAGTGTGAGGGGGGAAATTATGATAAACACTAGAGTGTAATAACGTGAAGCCCAAGGAGACAGTCTCTTTGCTTACACAAAAGATGGCTCCCTGGACCGAATATATATATATATATATATATATATATATATATATATATATATATATATATATATATATATATATATATATACTTTAAAAATCAGGAGATCAATTGAATCCGCTACATTGGTTTCTTTTTAATACCACTGTTTCCTGGTCTGATTCAACTCTGACCATTAACCTATTATATATATATATATATATATATATATATATATATATATATATATATATATAGTATAAAATTACAATTGGAAAAAAAATCTTAGATTTTGCCGACGCGTTTCGTCTTCCGACTTTTTCAAAGCAAAAATGAAATCGAAATGTCTTTGTTGTTATAGTTATATTAAAAATCCAAATTTAGAAAGATAGACCTTCTGTCTAAGCCTTTTTCTGGTTAATACTTTATACTAAGAGATTTTTTTTCCATGTTGAAAAAGTCATATATATATATATATATATATATATATATATATATATATATATATATATATATAAAATATATGATATCACGATTCCATGAATTTAAGCGTAGTACCAGCAGATTGGTAGCTAAGTTTCATCATTTTATTGTTGAAATTACTAAAATGTAACCATAAGTTCTATCCTAAAAGTTTCATCTCGCGCATATCTCTTCCAGTTTCTTGCTTTTATGTCGACTGCAAACTATCAATAATTAAATGCAACGATAATTGTCATATTTTGTCTTCTTAAATTCTTTTTTCTTTTTATTTCTCAGTTTCCTTCAATCTATTGTCTTTCAATCGCAGTAAATTCTTGTTGCGTTTTAGTGACTTTGTCGTCTTGCTTGGGATGAAATGATTATATACCTTCTATGTCAACTTATATAAGCTTAATACTGCTCGTCAAAAGTGTAAATTTTAATTTCATTTTTCGTTTCACCTTTTGAAAGTGATGTCTGAAGATCCAGGGAAAAATAAAAGTCTCTGGTGAAATAAATTATTACAATGGAGCCTTAAAGTAGTCTGTCTTTCTTTAAATTAAATTATTCGCTCTGAATTAACATTGAGCTCTCAAGATTTCATCCTCCTTCGGATTATCCATACGCATTACCAAGATTTTCGTTACTTAAATATATATATATATATATATATATATATGTGTGTGTGTGTGTGTGTGTGTGTGTTTGTGTGAAGAAATATAGTCTTAGGGTGTGCTATATTTATGGGATAAAGTGCTCAATATCAGAGATAGAGCGTGTGTAAATATAAAAGTGAACATTAAAGTTAACACTTAGAGGTGACAGGCTGTTTCTTGCTAGACGCAATCGTCAGGCCACGTGGCCTCTAAGTGTTGACTTCAATGTTCACTTATATATATATATATATATATATATATATATATATATATATATACAGGGTGTCCATAAAGTCCGTGTGCACTTTTAAAAATTTATAACTTTATTTGTATTTGCGATAGAAATAATTTGTAAAAAGGATTAGAAAAAAGTAAATCTATATTTTTTAAGGTTTTATTGAAATTTTATTTAAATTTCCACATGTCCTCCATCATTAGCAATACAAAGGGTAATATGATTTTGCAGTTCACGGAAAACATTTGCCAACTGATTTACAGTAATGCCTGAAATTACATTAGTTATTTTAGCTATACTTAAAACTAGGTACATTAAACTTTATAACATTTTTTACATATATATATATATATATATATATATACATATATATATATAGATAGAGAGAGAGGGGGGGAGGGCTTATAAAAATAAAGTTTACGCCTTAAAAGCAGAACGCGTAAAAAAACGTAAAAAATATGGTAAAGTGTACAATATTTGATAGAAAACAGGGCAATCAAAGATCGGACTAAAATTGGTTGTGGCAACCCGTCGGTTAGTTCAGTTTCACCTTTCGACTCATTAGACTGTGAGTGCCCGGATTATCTTCCTCGGTTTTTATTCCTTTTCATTTCGTCGTTATTTTCATTAACTTTCCTTGTTTCCACATTTTTTTCTTTAATTTATTTCAGGCACTTTCTAGACACTCTCCACATATAAAGCTTCTCCCACTTCTCTCTCTCTCTGCTCTGTCTCTCTCTCTCTCTCTCTGCTCTGTCTTTCTCTCTGCTCTTTCTCTCTCTCTCTTTCTCTCTCTCTCTGCTCTTTCTCCCTCTCTATCTGCCCTTTCTCACTCTCTCTCTCTCTGCTCTGTCTTTCTCTCTCTCTGCTGTCTTTCTCTCTCTCTGCTCTTTCTCTCTCTCTCTCTCTGCTTTCTCTCTCTCTGTTCTGTCTTTCTCTCTCTCTCTGTGTGCTCTTTTTCTCTCACTCTCTCTGCTCTGTCTTTCTCTCTCTCCCTCTCTCTGCTCTGTCTTTCTCCCTCTCTCTCTGCTCTTTCTCTCTCTCTATCTGCTCTGTTTTTCTCTCTCTCTCTCTCTGCTCTTTCTCTCTCCCTCTCTCTGCTCTGTCTTTCTCCCTCTCTCTGCTCTTTCTCTCTCTCTCTCTGCTCTGTCTTTCTCTCTCTCTCTGTTCTGTCGTTCTCTCTCTCTCTGCTATGTCTTTCTCTCTCTCTCTCTGCTCTTTCTCTCTCTGCTCTTTCTCTCTCTCTGCTTTGTCTTTCTCTCTCTCTGCTGTCTTTCTCTCTCTCTCTGCTCTTTCTCTCTCTCTGCTCTTTCTTTCTCTCTCTCTGCTTTTTCTCTCCCTCTGCTCTATCTTTCTCACTCTCTCTCTCTGCTCTGTCTTTCTCTATTTTGTTCTTTCTGATAACTATTCTCTCTCTTTTTATTCCTACGCATTTTGTCGCCATTCTGTTCCTCCTCTTTCTCTTACGAACTACTTCTCTTTTTCTCAACAGAAAGACGAACCGGATAACTTCTTTCGCTCGTTTTCTTCTTTCTTCAACCTCTTCTTCCCTTCGGCGCCTTTCTCTTGTTCTATCGCATCTTGACCTCCTTAATCACAATCACCCACCCTGAGCTGCGTTATTAGCAGACACAAACTTCGCAGTCATCAATATTTACTAAGCTGAGCTGAGCTGAGCTTAGCCTAACCTCGCAGAAGATCACAGCTGTTGATTATCCAGTCCGAAGAATGACTTCACTCAGCAAGACACGTGTTTTAATACTAAAACCATAATATACAAAATTTTCTTCTTCTTCTTCTTCTTCTTCTTCTTCTTCTTCTTCTTCTTCTTCTTCTTCTTCTTCAACAGGACGTGGGTGATCAAAGCTCTTCACAATTTGCCTGTCTCTTGTTCTAAATAATTCTTAACCCTTGACCATCACTTTTTATATGTTTCGTACACTGAAGCAAACCAACCTCATTCTTAGCGCATTCCATTGGTAAGAAGGAATTTCTATTCAAAGAGTTTTTTTCTTTAGAACATACTCCCAAAAGGATGCTTCTTCGATCGCTACAAGCTTAGTCTCTTCAAGTCTAGGGTCAGCTGCTATCTTTGACTTTAACTCAATTTAATTTTAATAATTATATTGAGGTTTTCGGCTCTCGTTTTTGAAACATGGAAACTCTTATGTAGCGAAGGAATCATATTTTTTTTTAAAATAATTATAATTTAAGCTCTACTTCTGTATGGAGCACTGTATTTTTTTGTTGTTTTTTTTTTTTAATAAAAACAAAAATACGAAAGAACTCGGATTATTTACCTAACATGTTCTTTCCTATTTTTCTACACATCTGCGCACACACACACACACACACACACATATATATATATATATATATATATATATATATATATATATATATATATATATATATATATATACTCATAATCTGCACTTCTTATTTTCTTCTATGTTCAAAAAACAGCCCCGTACAGTAACCTTCGACTTTGTATTGAATGAACAATTTGTTAAAAATAAAGTTCGAATTCAACGTGAAATCTTAGTTTCGTACAGGACAAGGCTATAGTTGGAGAGAAATCGGCTACAAAAACAGTCTTACTACACATCCAAGTGGAGCCCACTTCCAAATTGAGCCCACATGCCCACCTTAAAACGCTGCATCTGGAAAACCTAGCTTTTTTTCTTTTCTTTATTTTTACCTAGGCCTGAATTTGATCCTAGACAATTTTTTACCAGTAGAAAACACACATCTCGTCGTTTTTATTAATATTTTTGTTGCTTGAACGAAGTCTGCATCTACGAGACGTGATACCGGGTGCTTGTTTGGACTGTTGATAGATTGGTTTACTTTTTATGGTTTATGAATCTTTTGCGGGTTATTTAAAGCCATAAAATATTTTTAGATTGTAAGATTTTTTGTGAGGGGATAATGCTCTACTGATACAAGTTTTACTAATTAACCCATAGTGGGGAAGAAGAGGGGGATTCATACCTTTCCTTAAATGGATATAACAAAATCAACGGGAATTGGAACTCGACCCTTCGATTAAAAATTCCGAGTAATTATCCATTACACCAACCACACATGCAAAATTACAGCACCTGGTATTCCCTAGCGGTCACCCATCTTGGTACTGAACAAGCTCGACGTTGCTTAACTTCGATGATCTCACGAGAACCCGAACTGATATCTGAACGTGGTATGGCCGTTTATAGTCTGGATTTTAATGCTTGCAGCGCTTGTTCTTCCTTAGCGGCCACCTATCTACGTGTTGATCAGGCTCGGTGTTGCTTAACTTGGTGATCCTACGAGAACTACGTTTACTATCACTTCTGGATTTTAATACTTACAGCTCCTGGTATTCTCTAGCGGTCACCCATCTAGGTACTGACCAGGCTTAACGTTGCTTAACTTCGGTGATCGTACGAGAACCGGTGTTTCAACGTGATATGACCATTTAAAGTTATTTTGGGATTTTAATGCTTACAGGACCTGGTATTCTCTAGCGGTCACCTATCAAGGTACTGACCAGGCTTAACGTTGCTTAACTTCGGTGATCGTACGAGAACCGGTGTTTCAACGTGATATGACCATTTAAAGTTATTTTGGGATTTTAATGCTTACAGGACCTGGTATTCTCTAGCGGTCACCCATCTAGGTACTGACCAGGCATAACTTCAGTGATCCCACAAGAACCGGTGTTTCAACGTGATATGACAGTTCATTGTTATTTCTTACAGCACCTGGTATTCTCTAGCGGTCACCCATCAAGGTATTAACCAGGCTTACCGTTGCTTAACTTCGGTGATCGCACGAGAACCGGTGTTTCAACATGATATGGTTTATTGGTATTTCTGGATTTTAATGCTTACAGCACCTGGTATTCTCTAGCAGTCACCAATCCAGGTACTGACCAGGCTCGACCTTGCTTAACTTCGGTGATCGTACGGGAACTGGTTTTTTCAACATGATGTGACCGTATGTCTGTTTGTTAGGAGGGCTATCATCAAGAAAATAATTCCGATATCGACCGTCAGTGTTCATAATAATCGCGGATTTCTCATCATTTACAATTACCGTCAAAACAAATATTGATTTGGTTGCCAAGGCGTTTCTCTCGCCCTCCCACTCTTTATTGAAAACAAAGTATCTTTTTTTTTCTTTTCTTATAGACTTTTAAAAAAAATCGGAACTCGAGAAATGTAGAAACAAACCCAGTTGGGGAGGGATATGAGGCCAGTTTGGACGCCATTTTGTTCTCAGCCTCTGAAGAGAGAAAGAAAAAAAAAAAAAAGCACGTTCATCTTGACTGTCAGCCAAGATCCAATAATATTCGTTTCACTTAAACAAATCAAGTGCAACAACTTCCGAATATAGCAACAATTTCCCTCTAAGCTAAACTCAGACCGACTATGATCTATAAGCAAATAAATTGGTCTATTCAGACTCAACAAGAAAAAGTCAAAACTAACGTCGACCACGCGTTCTAAATGTGGTCACTATTGATTGCGAAGATGGCATTTGGAGCAAAACTTTGAGCACAGGTTGAATCCTGTTGCTGATCGGGTAAAGACGAGATATTATAGACGTTGTTATTAAAACATAGGGCGTGTGCATGTGGTGTAACAGAGGCTTGGAACGAGAATTTGGCGAATAACATCCAAATTCCAGACGATATCGTTGCATTAACCTTCACACAAATACTCTTGGAAAAAGTATGGATCCATCACTTCGCCCGCCAACTATGCATTAGTAATGTTGTGACCAAGTAAATGGTTAAAGAAATAACAAAACAAGTGTTACAGAAACATCATATATTAAACAGTAAGTACAACAGACAAGTATTACACGACTAGTGTGTGTCGGTTGACCCAGCGTTTAATCTATTCGACTGTTATATTTAACAGCCTCTCCACGAGGGATGTATGTGGCACAAGGCCGAGTTTACCGTGGGTTCTCCGAGCCCGTATACTCGGCCAAAAGTATTCCCTTTGAACCCGCCTAAACTGGATCAGGGACTGTTTACCTTCCCGGACGAAACTTTGCCCTGCGGCGAAGCTTCTTCCGAGTTCCTTTCTGCCCCGGCAGAGAGTTCGACAGTTGAACAATCTGTGCGACTGTTATATTTAACAGCCCCCACCAAGGAATGTATGTGGCACAAGGCCGAGTTTAACGTGGGTTTCTCTGAGCCCGGAGGCTCGGCCAAAAATATTCCCTTTGAACCCGCCTAGATGGGTTCAGTTACTGTCTACCTCCCCGGACGAAACTTTGCCCTGCGGCAAAGCCTCGTCCGAGTTCCTCTCTGCCGAGCCAGAGAGTTTGACAGTTAAACAATCTGTGCGGCTGTTCTTACAAGGCTTTCTCTCCTACTAATTTTATAGTAGGCGGAAAAGTCCAACATAGAATCTTTAGAGGGAGGACACAACAACAAAATAGTAAACTGGATTGTCTAGGAGTAGCTGGCAATCACCCTGTGAGAACAACTACTTTGAATTTTTAACCGTATTTGACCCAAGTGAGTACATACTTGAACTGTAACTCATGTCTGGTTTGCAATATAAACTAAAAGTTGGCTCCGTGGGTGATGCAAATGTGCAAGCTCAGAAACGAGCAGAAGCCGAAGATGCGCGATGACACTGATTTGTAGCGTGCCTTCAAGTCGAAACAGCTCATCTCAGGGTGGGAAATAATTTATCACCCACGAGGCTGTGTAGACGCTTTTGAACTCTATCAAGACAAGTAAGTAAGGTCTGGACAGCTCCATCCCAGATATGGCAGCAATACTCTTCTTTTTTTTTTTTTTTTGCTTTGTCTGATCTGGTCCTTGTAAAGATAGAGTATAGTAGCAGGAATCAGATACTTACTGGAGCGGTCCAATGAACTGACCCTTTTCCCAGCATCTTTAGAAATAGATCTGATAAATGGGTTCCCCTTGAAGTCTGATCCCTTCACAATTACCATATATGGTATCAGGAGAACTGCCCTCGTGACAAGTATCATAGCAAAGGGAGTCAGATACTTACTGGAGCGGTCCAATGAACCGTCCATTTTCCAAACATCTTTAGAAATAGATCTGATAAATGGGTTCTACTTGAGGCCTGGGGTGAGCTTGAGTCCGAATAGACTTTCATGGCATGGAGCCTCCTTGAGTGAATACCCATCAATCATAATAGTTTAAAGTTCGGGTTTCGTAGTCTTACCAGTTTTTCTCGTTTTATTTGCTTTTTAGAAACCTTTTTGTAAAGAATTGCAATGCTTTCTACCTTTGCTTATTTATATAATTTGATGAATCAAAGAGATGTGGAAATATTCCGAGAAAGAAAAAAATGTTGAACTGCTATATAATAACTAATATCCTATATGTCACTGAATGCTAGACAAATATGAGAACGCAGAGCGAAAGGTGCCTTATAGAAACTAAGCAAAATATTAAGAGACGGGAACATTTAATTAGAAACAAAGAAAAGAGTGCTGAACTGCCATGCAATATATAATCTTTTATATGGCAGTGAATACTGGACAAAACTAAAGGCACATTGATATAGCGAAAGAGGCCTTCCAGAAACTAAGTAAAGTATTAAGAAACAGGAAAATGTCGTTAGAAACAAAACAAAGAAAGCTGAACTGCTATTTAATATCTAATACCCTATATGACAGTGAATTCTAGGCAATTTCTTAAAGAAAGAAACTTAAAGCGATATTGAGATGGCTGTACAGACAAATGCCAAGGACAAGACATATGAACAATACGAAAGTTTTAAGGTGTATAGGAACTACAAAGAAACCTATACTTACAATCAGAATGAGACAGCGGAAATTTCTGGGACGCATAATGAGGGAAGAGTGTTTGGAGAATTTAACACCCACAGGACATCGTGAAGACAAGAAAAGTGGCGGCAAACGGCGATTAACCGATATAACGAGTTTGTGGGTCACTCTGATGTGGTGTAATGGTTAACAAGCTTGTCTCGCTAGAATCAATCACGACTGAATAGTGAGTTCGATTCTCACTGGGTACCCCATACTTTTGGCCTTGTGCCACATTTAAACTATGCTCAGAAAATCACCATGACGGGTTTGTATGAATGTATAGAAGAACAAGGACAAAGAGGGATGATAAAAGACAGGAAGTCATGGAGAGCCATGATCGCCCAGGTTTTGAATAGACATGGCACATAAAAAAAGACAGTTGATGAGCCAATTGCAGATGCTTCATGAAGATTTTGCTCTGAAACATCACAATCGAATTGTATCAATATTTCTACCAGTTTTTTTTTTTCATCGGACTTTTTTTTACACTTTTTTGCCATCACTAACATCAGAACTTTGATTGCTAGTCATCCCCAGAGGTAAACAGAGGAAAATTAGGTTAGGAATTTTACAAAATCTATGGGCAGTAACAACCACTGCAGGACAGCGAATTAAGAGATGGTTGCGCAGCTGTGACCATTCGATGTGACAAGCGTTCAAGTATTCGCACGTAACTTTGTCCAAATAGGTGCATTATTTACATTATTCAGACTATTGCCCTCATCTTTGTTGTCATATTTATCACAACGTTTCCGCCCTTTAGTATCTGTCTATATTTCTGAGATGAGGTATTATGTACACTATTTACATTATTTGGACTATTGTCCTCATCTTTGCCGCCATATTTATTACAACGTTCTCAAGGACATTTGTAAAAAAAGCAAAAAAGAAGATTCTTCTTTCAATTTTTTCCAAAAATCATTAAATATAAAACAGAAACATCAGACCTAATATGGCAGCAATATTCAATTCATGGATAAACTGTCGATTTATAAATGGACAAGATGGATTCTAGCAAGTAAAACTGTCTCGCATGATATTCTCTTATTTTCATTTACATTTACTCTTGTAGAAATATTTAATGAATTTAAAGCAGTAATATTTACTTAATGTTTTAATGGAGGAGGCATTCTTAATTATTATTAATAACCATCAATCACAATTACTAATACTTTTAAAGTACGTAAAAATAGTAACATTTTTTTTGTCGTATATGCAGTAATTTCATCTTAATTTCTCATTAAATGAACCATTGTCCGCCATTTTTAACTTTCCCCTATAATTTCTTCATCTTAATTTTAGTCGCTTTATTCATACTAGTAATTTTTTCTAGTACTAATATTATCTTGAATTTGTATTAGGTGACGCATTGTCCACCATTACTACTTTTTGAATAGCATTTCTTTCATCTTAATTTTAGTCGCTTTATTTATACGAGCTCTTGTAGCAATAATATTATATTGAATATTTATGAGATGAAGCATTAGTAGCTGTTATTATGTGATAAGTATTTTTTTTTTTTTGTTATTATGTGATAAGTATATTTTTTTTCATCAAAATTTTAGTTGCTTAATTTATAGCATTAGTTTTATTACTGGTAATATCGTTGTGAATGTTTGTTAAATGAAACATTTTCAGCCATTATTAATTTTTAATTAGTAATTATTTCATCTTAATCCCACTTGCTTTTCATAAAAGGAACCAACCCTTCAATATACGATCATTAGTACACAAAGCATTTAGACTTAAATAATAAGCACTCGGAGAGGCTAGGATTAAGTACGTCTATCTTACTGTGAGAGCTGATTTTATCGATTGAACTGCTAGAAACCTACGACTGGTAGAAGCTTAAATATAACCTTAAAACAATTCCTTATTTTTCGACGATGGCTCGGCGCCATATTTGATACTATCGTTTTTACGTATACTACTAATAAGAATAATAGTAATATTATAACGAATTCTTATGAGATGAAGAATATTTTGGCACGTGGAACTAGAACAGTCTTCCCCAGTGAGCGAAATAAAGTGTTCAGTTCGACATTCCAACCACTTGAAGAAGGCCGTAGCGTACATCGGCCGAAACGTTGTAATAAATATAGTGACAAAGATGAGAACAATAGTCTGAATAATGTAAATAGTGTACGTAATACTTCATCTCAGAAATATAGA